TCGATTATCGAAAACATAGTAGAAAATTTACATCGAACCACTTCTTGAGGGGCCTCTGATGAATGAGTTAAGGGATGGAAACGTCGATTTATATTAAGTTTAGAAGCACTTTCCATGAAACATGACACCCAACATTTGATTAAATACATGGAACATAGCATAAATTCATATAACGATACATCAGAATCAAAACATAGACAGGTTGTTTGATGATACTAGTTTAGAAAAACGTTACCAACTGAGGGCATTCTTCGACTGCTGCAGCTTTGCGTTGTAAGAACTTTCTATGTCCTCTTTGCAAGATTTTAGCAGAGGATGTAAAAATGTTGTTCTGAAAAACTTGACCGACTCTCCGAGGGAGGTTCTATCCCATTCTGCAATCAATCAAAGCCAGTAATATCAGAAATACTGATAATACTAATTGCAAGTGGCATTATCATCAGCCAAGTTCATGTTACAGCAGCACATCCTAATACGTAAGTGATCAATCACATCAGTTTGTGACCCCTTATTGACTCCCGATTTCTGATGCCTGACAATAAAGCTACAGCATGTCTAAATAAGTGCAACTTTTCCCGGTCTTTCATCTTATACTATTTGCAGCGACTAAATAAAAGCATACGGACCTAACCATCATGAGAATAAATAACAATGGAAGAATGAACATACCATTATCAGCATCTTGTCTTAGTCCTTCCCTGTTCAGTTCTTCCAGAAGCTGTCAGGTAAATAAATCACAAGAATTATACGCCAATCTCTCTAAAAAGGAGCAAGAGCTCATACAGTTTACACATGAGGAAATGGAGTATAATTATTTTTCTTGGTTGAAGTCTAAAAAACTATTAAACTTGGATTTGGAAATCTTCAGCACAAAAATCCGACAGATAAATAAAAAAGAGTTGACAGCACAAATACCTGGGATAGGGTTGGCACTGTAGTTGGATCAAACTCATCACAATTGTTTGGGTCAATTGGAACACAAACACGGCCTACAGGAAAAAGAATTAAAAAAACGTTGAACACTGACGACTACTAAAATTCATGCCGGGGTCTGCTCAACCGAAGTTTCTTTGTTACATATCCTGAGAAGAGGAACAGGAAAATATTCCCTATCATGTGGTATTGATATGTATGTATGCTCGCATGCATGTAAAGTGAGCTGACTAGCAAATTACGAAAAGAAATCCAACCACAGCACAAATTCAAGGTGTCTAGCATAAATACAGCTACTGATAATATTTCTGGTTTTGAACGCAGTCACTAAAGTGCTTTAGCATTTAGGCTTAAGTGTCCTGATTCTTAAAACATAATTCCCATCACATTTTTAGGCGCCCCAACTATGGTTTCTGGCTAATCTTCACATTCATAACAACTGATGTTAAACAGATTTTTCACTAACCTGTTTTTGGATGTACACAAAACGGTGCCTTCAGTAAATGGTTCATGTGCTTCGACACCTGACATACAAACAAGCCGTTGTCTATGACAGGTCATGCATATATATGAACTTCTTTCTTCAAAGATGCAATTTATAAGTACAAATTTATGAAGTAGGTGGATGTACTTCTATGATGAACACTGATATGGTTGAAAGAGAATGAACTAATAAAATAAGTAAACAAATAAATAAACAAAACCAAAAGGTGTAATACTGTTGCAGACCTCCATATCAAGCCTAGGGTACGTAAATGAAAAGACAATCTCTTCAACACATCTCCGTATTCCTTGTGTCTGGAAAAGGTGATTCATGCAAAACAATGCAAAAGGTTAAAATACAGCAATTTCCGCCTCTAAAATAAAACATATGACATCCAGGTGATAAACATATTTGAGATAATGTGTTTCTAATGAATTAAAACTTATCCAGGAAAACAATCAAATTGTAATTGATTTTCAGATCAAGGATTTATTACTTGATCCAACTCATTTATTGCTGATATTCTCAGAATGACTTTGATTGTGCATGATAAATAAAAAATGCCATGGACTCACTTCGCTGCAGAAACTTGTTTCTAACATGCAGTGGACTCACCCCCTTTATTGTAAATTCTTTAACATGCCATGGACTCCCTTTAGGATCCATGAAGAATCATTACCGATCTTGAGTCTCAAAAGCTTATGATCTGTTTGACGGCCATAATCAATTTAAGATGGCAGTTATAGCCTTTTAAATATATCAAACTCATCGCAACTCAGTATATTTTAGCATCACTGTTAGAGAAGTTAATCTAGAACATATTAAATCATACAACTGACAAAAGTGAATTAAGTGTTAAATTCACCTATTCAAACAGAGTGGCCCATTCCACTGTTTGTGACAAAAATGTTTAAAAAGAGGTTTCAACTTTCAATTGCCAAGTAGGTGCTTGACACTGATTTTGAGCATACCAATTCATACCTTGTGTTTACCGGATTGCAGGACAGACTTTAGTTGATCCCACCTAACAAGATTTATGTCATCTTTTGACATGGAAGCTCGCTTATTCTCTTGCCACCTCCCCCTAAGTTCAGAAGCAACAGCTGAAAAGATAGAACGCACATACATGAGCAACTGCTAAGGTAAATGCCACAACTAGCCATCAAAGAGACTAAATTTTACATGCGTCGGGAATCATTTCTAGTATCTTCTCATATCTCTCTTCAGAGGAAAGTAAACTTTGATTTGGAAGCATTTTGGCCTCGAAAAAACCCTTCAGAACTTCAGTATAGGATCTCCTGCAAAGTCAGAATATGCCTCAGAGAAGGAGAGTGGAAGTTGAGATTAAGAAACTTAAAAACAAAATACAGTATCACTTACGCCAAGAAAGGATGCAGAACAGGGCCTGGTAAAGATATCTTTCTGTGACTATTTTCATTGCCCTGAAAAGGTACAAAGTTAATGTTTTCTTGGTACTAAGGGGGAAAAAAGGAAAGCCAAATCAAGATGCATTTCACAACACTTGTTAATCACCTTGTACACACGGAAATAATCAGCAATAGCTGCCCTCTGTTCATTAGTCAGCCTGTATAAGTTATGCGAGGAAAATTGATGTCTTAATGTGATAATACAGGTAAAGGTATAGCAGAAATATTGTGAAGATTTCAAGGGTTTACTACATTACCTTCTGGCTTTTCCATCGCAAACCCAGCAGTGCACACCACGCCGACCACTATACACCCAGAGAATGTGATTAAATCCAAAGTCATCTACATTATTTGAACTTCAAAGTTAATTGATGATGTAAGAAAAAGACCTGCACACATCATGTGCACTCAAGAAACCAAATGTGCCTATGTAGTAAGGCAGAATTTTTTAAGGACAGATCAATAACTCAAAATCCCAATTAGAATACTTTTTTATCAGGGCCAGTTTAGTAAGCCGGCAATGGTTTAAAAGTGCATTTAGCAAACCAATGTATTCCAGCTTTTACCTCTGAGTGCAGTATCAATCACTTTAATAGCAATTGTCATTAGAGGCCAGCACTGCAAGCAAACATCTGCTCCTGTGCAGCAAAATCTAACATCATCGTAATCTGTTATATCCTGGAAAAAGGATACAACATAACTCCAACAAATCAAATAACATGGCCGTTACAGTACTGAGATTGAAAAGTAGGCTAAGATGCTCAGTTTTCTAGAAGTCCAGTAGCTTACAATATCAAAAACCAATTCTCTCTCAAACGGAGTGAAAACATTGTCACGGCTTTGAGCATAAGCATGCCTCTTAGCAGGCTGCATTACAGATAATAGATCATTAACAACCAATAAAACAACTGACCTGAATAACTAATAAAAACAAAACCGGCAGCTTTAACTCATAGGTCTCCGAGATACTATTAAAAAATTGCGTAAAGATGAAAGAAATCTTACATCAACGCTATAGACAGGCCCAATATCTATCTTGAATGGACATTTCTCTTTGATGGAATTTTCCAGTTCTATAGCACTGTTGAAAGACTGAAATCGGATATAAATGTCATTTTCTAGCGTGAAAGAAAATTCCCTTCTTCCAAAGTAGGACTTGTCACATGCAGGATGCTTGCCATCTGCAGATACCGAGATCGCGATATATATCACACATGGGGAAAATCCCAAAGCACAACTTCTAGAATAGAAAAGGACTTTGTTACCATTTCCGTAAGACAACCACTTAAACATATCAGCATGAGGAAATAACTTTCCTGCCATAAAATTGGTTTCAGATTTCAATCACAAGTTCTATAATAAAAGAAACACTCCATTATTCAAGCAATAAGATGGGAGTCTATAAGAGAAAAATGAGAATTTTCACCATAGTAGATTCTGAGATAGTTAGAGTCGAATCCATCAGGGACGGCATTTGCTTGCTGAGCCCCATCAATCACCATGTCATCTCTTCCGTTTGCAGCTTCTTCTCTCGTCATCTTTGCTTCAAAATGAGGCTTAATTTTTCGTAGAATAGAAGAATTTGGAAGCAGAGAGTTCACAGGAAGAGAGCAGGATGGCGGGAAGCGAAATGGGGACTAGGGCAAATAAATAAATCCTTTGGCGGGAAATGTTGGGCCTGAAAACTCCGCCCAATAGAAATAACCACAAGCCCTAAGTAAGCAAATTGTTTTGACTTTCACAACGTCCTCACAAAAATCCTTGGACCTATCAGAAACGAGTAAATTACAATAGAAGTACTTCATTATGTTTATACGATCATTTTGATCATCAGATTTTTAAAGATTACAAAATAATTATTAAATTTTTTAAATTAATATAAGATAAAATTATTAAAATTTATATTATTATAATGTTAAAATTATTATTTCATAACAATTTAAAAATTTAATCAGAAAAATAATTTACAGCGTTTAAATTTTAATAATCAAAATAATCAGTGACCTGATCCATAGTTTACCCTTCAGAAACAGCCAAAACCAAAATTCCTGCTCACCAAGGAAAGTACGAATAAAAAATAATAGCCAAAAATGTTTTTTTTTACAAAATATTAAAAAGATGGGAAAATACGCTGTATCAGTATCACTTTACCCTATTTTCTAAAATTAATTATCCCAGGCGATGAGATGAGAAAGGAGCAATCTGGACCTGGCGATGGCGTTTCATTTCGGATCTTTCTAGGACTCCCTGGTAATCTTACCCGAACCCGCTAATCATCAGCGTCTGCTTTTGGACCGGTTTTTCCTCTTCTACCCCTCGGGCTACGGTTTCTGCTAAGGTCAGCTCGATGGTGACCAATAATTTTATCACCATGAACGGGAACGGGTTTAGTAAGATGGAAGAAGAGTTCATCAAGAGGCACCACAAATTCGAGGTTAAAGAAAATCAGTGCAGCTCTTCGCTCGTTAAGCACATCAAAGCTCCTGTTCATCTCGTATGGTTTTTCTCTTTCTTTTTTCCTTTTTGTTAAAGAAAACCAGGCTAATAGAACCGATTGGGGTTTTACTGAGTGCTAGATTCGTACATAGATCTGGGGATGTTTTGGGCTGAATTCTGTAAATTTTGGTTTTAGATGTCTATATTAAATAGCTTAGCTTAATTTTTAGGCGACGTGTTATTGTTGGGATTTTCCCCTCTGATATTTTTTTGTTCATTGCATGTGGATTCAATATACGAGGAGATCGATTTTAAGTGGGGATTTATTAGAATTTCCAATTTTTCACTGAAAATTTAAGCTAGATTAGTGGTTCGTTGAATGTTATGTGATATTAAGCATTTCTGAAGCGATGGGGATTAGAAACAAACCTTGAGCTATGTGAAGTGTGTATTATTTTAGAGTTGCGATGTAGAACATTGACGACTTCCTTTTAGACCGAGTTTAATTTGACATCCCATATCCAACCTATCGACCTACCTAACCCTAAATCTTGTGTAGTTACAAATTAAATTACTTTCAGATTAAGTTTGAGGTTTTAGCTTACTTTCAGATTAATGCATGAGGTTTTTGATCAATCAGGTCTGGTCCTTGGTAAGGAGGTTCGATCAACCACAGAAGTACAAACCATTTGTTAGTAGGTGTGTTGTGCAAGGGGACCTTCGAATTGGAAGCGTTAGAGAAGTCAATGTTAAGTCAGGTTTGCCGGCCACAACTAGCACTGAAAGGTTGGAGTATCTGGACGACGATGAGCATATTTTGAGTATGACGATCGTTGGAGGAGATCACAGGTTGAAGGTACGAGTTTTCTAATTGGTTGAATTAGTTACACACCTCACACATAATTGTAAATGATTTGAACTCCAATAAATTTAAGTTTTTCATCATATGGTCTTGACTGAAATATATGTATTCATCTAAAGTAACTTTTTCCCCTTCTTATTATATGATGTGATAATTTCCTGTAGGATTATGAAATGCATAAATTACTTGAAAATATAACAAGTTTTTGGATATGGTCACTTGCAACTTGCGGGGTGGGGCATTGCCTACGCTAACTTTTTGTAACGAGTCATCTGATAAAGACTGTCTTGAGTATGAATTGTCAAAATCAATTGTTTAAATGGTCAAATTTCATTGAGCATTTTAGAAGAATTGTCGTGTTTGAGATGGAACATAGCCCTGCAAAACTGGAAATCAGAATTGTAAAACAGGGGAATATATATCCCTACAAATTGACTAGTAAAATATCTTTCCGCTGATTTTGACCAGTGGAATGAATGTGCTCTGTAACTGCCCTCTGTCTAGGGCAATTTATATAAGTTATGTTGCCTTTTCATCTATCCAAACTATTATGTTTTCTTGTGCTACTAGCACATTTGACCTGGACCACTTCTTTTTGCGGCTTCCCATAGTTTTCTTTTCTTGGTTTCTTTGCATGTATGTGGAATATTTTTATTTGATACACATACATGAGCAAGCAATGTTGTTTATCATGTAATTGAAGATGTGTGAATTTTCAGTTCTGTAATATGTTGTTCTGCCACCTTTTCATATTTAAATTTATGAGAATTATATTGTTCCAATATTGCATCGACCTCCCTATTTTTCTTGATCATGCAATCCTGTACTTTAGTTATGATCTAATTTGATGAAACTGCAGAACTACTCATCCATTGTTACGGTCCATCCTGAGATCATTGATGGCAGACCAGGAACGTTGGTTATTGAGTCTTTTGTGGTGGATGTACCAGATGGGAACACCAAGGATGAAACAAGCTACTTTGTTGAAGCACTGATCAAGTGCAACCTCAAGTCACTGGCTGATGTTTCAGAGCGTTTGGCTGTTCAGGATCACACTGAGCCGATTGAAAGAATGTGAATAATCGGGGTCCCTCTTATCAGCATTAAGGTGACGAACTCGTATTATTAGAAGCTGAGTAGATAATTCAGGCTACCTTCGGTTTGAGTCAAATTCTATTTCCTTATACTTTATGCATCGTTTTACCAGAACATCATCTTTAGGTGTGTTGTGTTGATAAATGATAATAGCAGACAATTCAGCTCAATCCTCGGCCTAGAACAGATTTACAAAATGAAGAAACAATTCAGAAATTTCTGTGTTTAATAATGGGGTGTTGTATTGTATCTGGATGTAAATATCTGTACGATAGGAATTTGATATTCATACTATTAGTTTTGCATGTATAAACTATTCTGCTTTTGGTGGATATATTATATGTTGGTACATGATCTTATTTACTTATTTCCAAAATAATATGTTACACTCCTTATTTTGTATTAATAATATGTAAAAAATAGGTTTAAGTACACCAATGCTTCCCAAATTATAGGATATTATTTTATTGAGTCTTTTGACTTTTAAAAGTTATAAAATGATCCATTGATTATGAGGAGTTGCTTTGTTAAACCCCTCCTATGAAAAGTAACAAAATGATCACTTGATTATTCAATTCATTATGTTTTAAACTTTTTCTTTTTTGTTAAAAAAATTAACGATTGACTAATTTGGATGTTAACATATTGTCTGAGATATAATTGTCGTTTGAGATTATGAGATCAAATTTTATCATATCTCAGCTAGTATGTTGACGTATAACTCAAACTTTTGTCAAATTTTTAATGGAATAGAACAAATGCGGAATATAATGAAGAGTCGATGTGAACTTTTAATAGTTAAGGGACTTAATAAAGTAATTACTTATAGCCGGATGATCATTTTATAACTTTTAATAGTTAAGGGACTTAATAAAGTAATTTCTTATAGTCGGATGATCGTTTTATAATTTTTAATAATTAAATAACTTAATAAAATAATATCTTATAGTCGAAGATCAATTTGTATACTTTACCCAAAAAGTAATTGAAATTAAAGTTACAAATATATAATTATATCAAAATAAAAATTATATATATAATATTAAAAGTTTAATTGAAACTATACTAATTTTAAAATTAGTCTGTTATTCTTTAATTTCCATATAAATCTAGAAAAAAGGGCTGCGTTATAAAAGAAAATACCATATTATTGATCACCAAAGGACGCCATGTTATTTACAACCGATAATGAACTAGTTTAAACACAGCCAGGCCAGAAAATAAGATTAGATGGCATCACTTTGATTAAATGAAGTGCATGGTACCTTCAAAACTTAATCAAAAACTTGCGAATCCTCTTCACGAACCCTCCCTCGCGCCTATCATCTTCCTCTCCTCGGCGATGATGGCGAAGGGTGTGGTGGTGTTCGTCGTCGTGATCTTGTTCACGTTCTTCGTTATAGTGACGAGGCTTCCTAAAGTACTCTACATGCTCCTTGGACTCGGCGCCGTCGTCGGAAAACCTGCCCCGTCTCGCCTGGATATGGGGACCAAGGCGACGTGACTGATCGGTTTTAAAACCACTTCTTTCGTCGGGCAGTACCATATCGTTGCCATAAGAAATATGGCGCTTGCGCTGGAGCCGCGGGTTCGAAGGCCTGATCTTTCTGTGGAAATGGCAGTCGTGTTTATGACGGAACGGAATCAATGGATGCCTGGGGAAGTGACCGTTTACGGGACGGAAACTGGTCATCGTCAACGGAAAAGAATCCAAGTCGGAGTCGGCTCCCAGGGTTTCATAGAGCTTAATATCAACTGTTTTGGCGGCTTCGGAGCCGGTTTTCTCGCCAGGGAGATCGATGACGTTTGTGATTTTATGGCCGGGTTCGGGTAAATCGGTAACGATTTCTTCATGGTTGACGGTCTGTTCCGGTAGAATAAAGCGGGCTTCTGTGACGGTCAAGAAGAGAAAAGTAACAATGAACAAAACAACGAGTGGAGCCATTTTCGTTAGCGAATTTAACTTTAAGAATTTAGGGTTATTATATAAGGAGGTGGGAGGCGAGGTAATGGCAGAAGCGGGCAATGGGGTTGACCAAACACCTGGTTTTAGCCTTTTTAGGATTGAAGAACAAGGAATGTTTGAAACAGTCCCTCGCCACAAATTAATGTTTTTGACTTTCAACTTCTGTCCGACAATGGTCGCTCAGTTTCATACATTACTATTGAAAACTATATACCGGAGAAATTTCAGGCTTTGTCTTGACTAATTCGGACCAATCCGCGTAGTATATCTAGTTTTGGTGGATGAGTTTCCCGACAAAGGTTTTCTACATACACAATGACTCGAACTTAAGACCTTACTTAAATGATATCAAAGCTTCTTCCCATTAGTTATTGGTTATATACAGGAGAATTAAACAAAGCAATAACTTAACTCATCCAGAGCTTTTATATCAGTAATTAAGTTTTTATTCGTAAACTTATACTATCATATTTCATTTCTGATTTTTTGTTGCACATACATTACATAATGAAACATCTTTAATTATTCTTTTGCTTCCATGGCGATTTTATTTTATATAGTCTGGCTTTTATATGGCCAACATCTTCACCATGCTCAGTAGTACCATGTGCATATAGTCCATCATGATGCCTTGCTTACGCAGACCTGTACACCAACCCAAATAGAAAAAAACAAATAGTAACATAAAAACGAATCATATTAACCTACATTGTTCTTCAACCTAAACATGACCTACGGAATGGCCACGTCCACCGCTGTAGTGCGACTGGTTGGAATAGTAAACTTCGCTACGATACTCGCAAGTTTCGGTTTCGGTCATTCCGTAGGTCATGTTTCCGCCGTTGCCATATGTTTGGTGCTTCATGTACCCCTTTCCGTGGCCTGACAGTTTGCCGCCGTGGAGCGGTGGGCTATGCTGCATTCCATGGTAATTGAACTTCCCATGGCCGTTGGTTCCGTCATGGCCGTAGCCGTAACCAGGGCCGTGGTGCTTTCGGGGGCTGATCTGATGATGACCATGGATTTGAGGTTTCGACATTGCATTTCCGTTTTGAGGCTTGTGGCCGTGGGTGCCATGAGATTTGCCATATCCGTAAGCGGTGTGGGATTCGCTCATTCCGTAGGTGGGGCAGCGGATTTGGGCATGGCGTTCGTGCTCACTGTAAGACATTGAACAGCCATTCTGGCATTGGTTCGACTGGGATCCCCAACCGGAACCGCCTCCATAATATCCTTGGCCCAAGCCTTTCTCGGTGGTTTTGTGGCACTGCAAAGAACCCATTGCTGCAATAATCTCTGGAACTCTCTTAGTTTGATATTGTTTGATGACCAACTTTTGTGGAACAAAGTATATATATATAGGCACGGTGGATGGGAATCTCTCTCTTAGTGGATTACTCATTACTCCTTATTTATTTATTCTTTAGTGGGCATCTAAGCATTTTTCTCTGAAAAGAATCTCATTCTCAATTAATGATATGCTATTGATCGCAAGAGAGAATTGACAATTATGAAATCATGGAGTCACCGGCCCAGGTTCAACCTTGTCATGGTGATCATTGAACCTTGTCATGGAGTCACCGACACTCTTATTACGTGCATTCTTCTGGTGATAAATCAATTGAATATTCCTTTTGGTGGTGTTGTATATTTAATATTCTTTTTTTGGTACAATGGACAAAACCACTACGTTTTGTTTACCATCTTAAAAATTCAATCTCGTGGATATCGGCTTGCAACAAAGCTTGAAGCTCATTTGGTGGTTCTTCAGATCGGTGCGTCCCTTCACTTCTCCTGAAAGCTAGGTTAGCCATTCGATCAGCGCATCGACTCCCCTCCTTCCAGGTATGTCTCACCTCTGTTATCCATCCTTCTTTGTTGTATATTTATTTAATGATATCCTCCAAAGCATCCTTTGTGGCAATTTACTTTTGTAATGTGAGCCTTACTTATCATATATGCCTGTGAAATGTAAACTTTGCAGGTGGAAGCACTCATAGCGCCTGTAAAATCGTGCACTGTTTCATATGTTTATAATCCTTGCTTTTTATTTCATGGTAAATAGCTGATAGAAGTATTTTACTTTTAAAGAAAATTATTTGAACTCACATTTGAGATAATATAAAAATTCTTAACCACTCAATCGATTCGTGGATCTCGATACAATGTTTATTTAGTTATAAATTTGGGTAGTAATATTTTTATTTTTATTGTGTTGATATAAAGATTAGGTCGACGATTTACGAGGGTTCGTTTAATTAATACAGCGCAGAGAAGTGTTAGAAAATTATGGTCGAATGGTACATGAAGGAGAGGGAGAATCTCTTACCTTAAGGAGGCTTAATAGAATGGTAGTAAAGGAGAAAAATGGAAAAGAGTTGAGGTTTAGAAGAATTTCTTTGTAGTTTAAATTTATAGTTTGAAATATTGTATTACATGGGAAATTATTAACGCAAATTAGATACAAAGATTTTATATCTGCATAGACAAATTCAATGAAATAATCCATATCAGTCAGTAGAAGCAAATGTGTTTTTAGTTATTGTTCCGTTTTTCAAGGTTTCGTCTTGATAATTGCGGATCTAAGAATTTGAAAATGTAGGTTCAAAAAATTTAATACTTTTTTTCCAACAAAATGAGTATGCAAAAATTCTTAATTTCTTCTCTTTCCCTTAATATATTGAACTATATTTAATAACTTATTCAAAATAATGGTTATGCACTTGGCCAATTTCTTCTCTTTCCCCTTAATATATTAAACTATATTTAATAACTTATCCAAAATAATGGGTATGCATTTGGCCCTCTAGAGAGCCAAGTTCATCTGCCCCTGATCCTGAGTAATCCGAACAGATCTAGGTCACACACCTGAATTTGGTGGGTGAGTCTTCTAGTGTAGACTTTTTTACATATACAAAGACTCGAAATTGAAACATGTTTAAGCTATATTAAAAACCAACCCATTGGTATGGTATGGTATGGTATGGTATGGTATGGTATGGTATGGTATGGTATGGAAGCAATTTTTTAACTTTAATGACAATCT